TGTCATAATTTAAACTTTGTCATAATTGTGACTTTTTATGCCATTTTGATTTACTATTTGATTTATAGTTTCATTATTTTATTCATATTTTGATCATCTCCATAGGTGGTGAAGCTGAAGGACGTCTTCCCCCACGGCACAGGCTTTGTGCTGGTGTTTGAGGACATGTTGTCAGATCTGTCAGAAGTCATTCAGAATTCCCAGCGTCCTCTCACTGCATCCCAGGTCAAAGGTTACATGATGATGCTTCTGAAAGGAGTGGCTTTATGCCACGAGAACTCCATCATGCACCGGGTGAGACTGTGTTCCTGATGCCATTACATTTGTCCTTCACTGTGATCTGTCCTATATATGTGCTTCACATGTGTTTGTGTGTAGGATCTGAAGCCTGCAAACCTTCTAATCAGCTCGACGGGTCAGCTGAAGATCACTGACTTCGGTCTGGCCAGGCTCTTTTCCAATGAAGGAGATCGTCTGTACAGTCACCAGGTGGCCACCAGGTGATCATTTACTAGAGCTTGGTCCTAACAGTGAGTTTCAGCTACAACATAGATCATATGTGACCCTGGAGCACAAAAGCAGTCTTAAGTCGCTGGGGTATATTTGTAGCAATAGCCAACAATACATTGTATGGGTCAAAATTATCGATTTTTCTTTTATGCCAAAAATCAGTAGGATGTTAAGTAAAGATCATGTGTGAATTTCCTACCGTAAATATATCAAAACTTAATTATTGATTAGTAATATGCATTGCTAAGCACTTCATTTGGACAGCCACAGGCTCAGCACCCGCCTACTTCCACTCACTACTACGAATTTACATCTCCTTCAGAAGTCTGAGATCCGCTAGTGAGCGACGCCTCGTGGTGCCATCACAGAGAGGCTCAAAATCACTTTCCAGAACATTCTCGTTCACCACTCCTGGCTGGTGGAACGATCTTCCCACCCCTATCCGGAATGCTGAATCCCTGACAATTTTCAAGCGACAGCTGAAAACTCATCTCTTTCGAAGCTACTTGACTTCATCATAAAAAAAAAAAAAAAAATTATTCCTTCTCTTTCTAGCTTGTACTTATTTGAACAATGTCTAAGAACTTGGTATTACAACCACTTCTTGTGTCTGTTTGCCTCTCTAAGAAGAATCGCTTTATGTATCCCCCAATTGTAAGTCACTTTGGATAAAAGCGTCTGCTAAATGACTAAATGTAAATGTAAAATGTAACTTTAAAGGTGATTTTCTCAATATTTTTTTTTTTGCACCCTCAGATTCCAGATTTTCAAATAGTTGTATCTCGGCCAAATGTTGTCCTATCCTAACACATCAATGGAAAGCTTATTTATTCATTGTTGTATAAATCTCAATAAAAAAAAAAAAAGACCCTTATGACTGGTTTTGTGGTCCAGGGTCACATATGACTAAAAAGATTTGTTGTGCTGTGTTTCAGATGGTACAGAGCGCCAGAACTTTTGTATGGTGCCCAGAAATATGATGAAGGAGTTGATCTCTGGTAAGAAATTGTGGAATCATTTTTTCCAGTCACCAACTTTTTTAATGTAATATTTCAGTGTTTATTATAAATGAACTATCAACTATCAGTTTTATCTATTTCTGTCCATTTTACAATGAATTATAATTTCTCTAAGAATTATCCAATGTATTATGGAATTACTGAGTCTTTTTTTGGCAATTATTTCAGATGAATTGTACCAAAATAATTAAATCAAACTAAATTGTGTCAGATTTCATAATATTATGAGTACAAATCGTATTCAAATTAGCATCAAGGCAAATATTTAGGTATTTGCTAGTAGTTCAGTTTGTGAACTTTCTCTTTCCTCAAGTGTCCACTAGATGGCAGTAGTGCCTATTCTACGCTCAGCAGGTGTCTCTGTGTGTCTCTTCTGGCTTGTTTCAGGGCAGTGGGCTGTATTTTTGGGGAGCTGTTGAACAACTCTCCACTTTTCCCCGGGGAGAATGACATTGAGCAGTTGTGCTGTGTGTTACGAGTGCTGGGAACTCCCAACCACAAAGTTTGGCCAGTGAGCTCTCATTTACATTCGCTATGCCTGTTCATCGTTAAGTTTAGATTAGAGCAACATGACACACAATGGGTGAACTGTGTGTGAATGTTTTGCCAGTGATGATTCAATCTAGGAAATAACGGAACTACCAGACTACAATAAGATCACATTTAAAGAAAACCCCCCCATTCCTTTGGAGGAGATCATGCCTGACACGTCACCGCAAGCTGTGGACCTGCTGAAGAAGTTCCTCGTCTATCCGTCCAAACAGAGGATCAGTGCTAGACAGGTGCACATTTGAAGTTCTGTGCAGGTTCATTCAGTCATGTACATCGAAAGAGACTCATAATGCCCCGTCTCTCTCCTCAGGCTTTGCTCCATCCGTATTTCTTCACAGACCCTCTCCCGGCTCATCACTCAGAGCTGCCCATCCCTCAGTGTGGAGGAAAGCACTCCAGACAGCGCATGCAACCCCCTTATGAATTCACAGTGGATCGACCTTTACACGAGAGCTTGGTGGACCCCAGTCTGATCCAGAGACATGCGCGGAGCTGTTTATGACAGCGGTATGAGCAGAAATGTAGGGCTTTGTACTTTGTTTCACACATTCAGTCATACACATTTATTTCATTTTTTAAGGACAATGAAAAAAGAAATAACATGTTTAAATTATATGTTATACAGGAATAGGCTATATAATGTTTCAATTTTGCTGAATATACATTTAGTGAACATGTCTAGCTTTATTTTTCTGTTATATGTGTTTAAATTTCATAAAATATTTTCAAGAAATTATCGATTATTAATAATCAATACGCAAAAAGTCAAAACATTTGTCACAATTATGATTTTTTTTTGTCATTATGATTTACCAAAGCATGATTTGTCATTTCTTGATGATGAAATTAAATAAAATAAATGTGCAAATAATTTATTATAATGCTCTATTATACAGGTTATATAGTGTTTCCGTTTTGCTGAGTATACTTTTAGTAAACTTTCAAATGGCCTAGATTTACTTTTTTGTGATAGGTGTTTAAATTTCTAATAAAGATTTTTTTAAAGGAATAATCAATTATGGGATGAAAATTATGACATACTAAGACATTGTCATAATTATGACAAAAAGTCAAAACATTTGTCATAATTTTGGCTTATAATGATTTAACAAAGCATGATTTGTCATTTGTTGATAATGAAAAAATAAATAAAATATTCAGATAATTTTTTATAATGCTCTATTATACAGGAATATATATATATATATATATATAGTTATTTAATGTTTCAGTTTTGGTGATCATAGTTTTAGTGAACTTTCAAACGGCATGTCTAACTGTATTTGTATATACATATTTCCGTTTCGATTTACATGCTATAAGTTACAGTACACATGCTAGAGGAGTAGCCTATTTGACTTGATATCATCTCAAGCTGTTTTACTTACTCCGCTTCAGAGGAATTGTAAAATGAGAAAGGAAAAAAAAAATTCTTCCTTTTTCCTCAACAACCATTAACCTTATCGTCTCACACCAGCCGGTGTAAATTAACTGGTTTGGGTTTTATTCAGTTAGGCGCAGCTTTATATGGTGACGGATGTACCAGAACAGGTTTGGTCATGTAGTTTAGTGCCAACACTCTTCAGAGCACCATGTTTTTGCATCGCCAGGTAACTAGTTTTAAATCATACACTACCGTTCAAACATTTGGGGTCAAGTTAGATTTTTTTCAAAGAAATTAATACTTCTATTCAGCAGGGATGCATTAAATTGATCAAAAGTGACAGTGAAGACATTTATAATGTTACAAAGATTTCTATTTCAGATAAATGCTGTTCTTTGGATGTATCCACAAAATATGAAACGGCACAACTCTTTTCAACATAATTATAAGAATAAGATAATAATAAGAAATGTTTCTTGAGCAGCAAATCAGCATATTAGAATGATTTCTGAAGAATCGTGTGACACTGGAGACTGGAGGAATGATGCTGAAAACTCAGCTTTTTCATTACGGGAATAAATTACATTCTAAAATATATTCAAATAGAAAACAGCCGTTTTAAATCGTAACAACATTTAACTATTTTTCTGCTTTTACTGTATTTATGATCAAATGTAGCCTTGGTGAGCATAAGAGACTTCGGTCACACTTTATTTGAAGGTGTTTTTGTTACAGTCTAATTATACATTTAAGTGCTGAGTAATATTATAATTAACTACATGTAGGCCTACTTACTATATGGTTAGGGTTTGGCTTGCATGTAATTATGCATAATTTATTGTTAAGTTACTATACAATAGTAAGTACATGTAACGTGTAACAAGGACACCTTCAAATAAAGTGTTACCGAGACTTCTTTCAAAACAGTAAAAAGATCTTACCAGCTTAAAACTTCTGAGCATTAGTGTACATCCCGTTATATAGTTCATAATAATAGGGAAACATTCTACCTTTCAAATGATCGTTACATTGTTGAAAAGCTGTGAAGGAAACTAGTCTTATCACTGAACATGCAAACAACTAGTTTCTATTAATAGTGCGTGAAGCAGTTCTGCCCTTGTTTTATAGCTCAGATTATTTACTTAATTACTGAATTACTTTTTTTCATTTCACTTAATTACTTTAACCACTAACTCAGTCATAGTGGTGAATCATTTCACACAACCTGAAAGGTGGAGGCAAATACTGTTAACTACATGTAGGCCTACTTACTATATGGTTAGGGTTTGGCTTGCATGTAATTATGCATAATTTATTGTTAAGTTACTATACAATAGTAAGTACATGTAACGTGTAACAAGGACACCTTCAAATAAAGTGTTACCGAGACTTCTTTCAAAACAGTAAAAAGATCTTACCAGCTTAAAACTTCTGAGCATTAGTGTACATCCCCTGTTATATAGTTCATAATAATAGGGAAACATTCTACCTTTCAAATGATCGTTACATTGTTGAAAAGCTGTGAAGGAAACTAGTCTTATCACTGAACATGCAAACAACTAGTTTCTATTAATAGTGCGTGAAGCAGTTTTGCCCTTGTTTTATAGCTCAGATTATTTACTTAATTACTGAATTACTTTTTTTCATTTCACTTAATTACTTTAACCACTAACTCAGTCATAGTGGTGAATCATTTCACACAACCTGAAAGGTGGAGGCAAATACTGTAACTTCAATCAATCTTCAGTTAACATAGACGTGATATTGCAGTTAGGGCACATAAACGCCAAACCAGGATTTTTGTTCTGTTGTATTCTGTTAAAAATGTCATACTTTAAATTTTTTTAGCTGAATGACACACTCTAACACAGCATCATTCACCGCTCTAATTTCCCTTCTGACTGAGCAAACAATGGGAAAGAAAACGGTACGTTTTGATTAACAAATGACTTTCACAGCCCTGCTCTGTGTGCATGTGGTCAGGCTGGATGTCTTTAGAATGATTGCAGCATTTGTCTCTATTTGCATTAGTGCGATCCGCTCAACTGCCCTCTTGTGTTACATATTAACCTGCGCTTTGCATCTATCATTGGCTCCACTTTCCCTTTTGTTCCATCAGTGGTTTTGGCTTTTATCAAGATTTTTTTATAATTCATCAAATTTATAGCAAGTTTAGTTAAAGGGATAGTTCACACCAAAATAAATACTGTTATTTACTAATATCTTATTGCTAGTGAGTAAATGATGGCAGAATGCATATAATAATTTATCTATATTGTATTTTATATATATATATATATATATATAATAAAGAAAAAAATTGAGAATTTACTCAAATGTATATTTGATTCAACTTCCACATAGAAACCTTTCTGTGTGTTTTAGCTGATCTGAGTATTTGATTTTGGTCATTTTACTCTTTGCATATTTGTAATTCTCATTTGCAGTGCAGACTGATGTGGGATATTTCCAGACTTTTTTGTGCATTTGTACTCATGAGGCACCACTTTTGCTGAAGCTGACCTGTCTTTGGCTCCGCCCACTGTCCCCACATGTCTAACCTCAATCACCCACAATGCCAGAGCACAGAAACCTTCACACATAAAGTTCTGCCCCATCAGCGGCGCTCATCTTCATCGCAGACACCTGTCCTGAAGACTGAAGAGATAAGCTCAGGTATGCCACTTTGCAATCAGATCTACATTACCATATCTACAGCTGCATTAGCAAAGCAAACAATGCAAGTGATGCTTATCATGTTTTTAGAGTCATTTGATTCTAAATGTCATTTCTGTTAAATGAACAGGTGAGACTGTCATTGCTGTTGTGATTTGTCATGCACTTTGCTATGTGAAAGTATGGATTTTGTGAGAATATGATTTTAAAATGTAAATATGGTCTAGTGCACATATAATAAATGTTATTGCGATTGATTTCCAAAGATATAATCTTTTTCTGAAATGTATTTCTATGTGGTCTCTTACAACTTTTAACTGAAGATATTCTATTGCAGTTATTGAAACAAATAATAGTTTAGACTGTAACAAAAAAATCCTCATTGCACTACACTTTAACATGCTACTGCAGAATATATATATATATATAAATGTGTGTGTAAAAAGTTCCTGACAGACATGGAGACCTCCGTTGAACAGGCTCGCTGGGTTTCCTCCTCCATGGTATCATCAGAGGTGATGCCCTCTTACCCGACTGACTCCAGTTATATGGTCCACACTGAAGAGGGTTTGATGTTCCCCTGCAGTGATGCCGATTACAGCAGCCTGCCCTCTTTGTTCAGCAGCCCGATCCATGGCTGTCCATCTGGAGCTTTTCAAAACAGCCCAGGTACAGGACACAGCACACTGTATTATGGCAGTATCACATGGTACTTTGATATACACTACCTACCATTCATCCAATCGCTGTGAGATTTTTAAATGCTTTTGAAAGAGAAACAACTTATTCTCACCATATTTAAAAAGAAACAGTAATATTGTGAAATATAATTTCAATTTAAAATCACTATTTTCCGTTGCATTTTGAAATGCAATTTATTCCTGTGATGCAAAGCTGAATTTTCAGCATCATTCCTCCAGTCTTCAGTGTCACATGATCCTTCAGAAATCATTCTGATATGCTGATTTGCTGTTTTAGAATAGAAAGTTAGAAAATACAGCATTTATTTTAAATAGAAATCTGTTGTAACATTATAAATGGCTTTACTGTAATTTTTGATGAATTTAATGCATTCTTCGTGGATAGAAGTATTAATTTATCTAAATACGTTTACATCATACTTTAAGAACTATGCCATAATATTAGCATGTCCAAAATGTACTGTGCTGCCCTATGAAGTAAAAAGCCAATAAATAATATAACAAAGACCCTCTAGTACAGAGAAAATATATGTAAGCCAAACCTTGTACTTCAGTATTTAAAAGGTCATTTACAATGCATTACTGTCATTTTGATGCACCTAGATGCTAAGCTAAAAATCAGTATCTTAAAACTTGGTTTTAAAGTTGTTTGACATCTTCAGCAATGGTTATATTTCAAATGTATGGCTAAAGGCTGTGTTTTGTCTTTTCACAAGGACAAATGACTAACTGTGACCAGTTACACTAAAAAGAATGTCGTTGGCGGTTTTAAGTAAACGTTGAATTAAAAAAAGTGATTAATTTGTCTCCAGAAACTTGATTTCAGTTCCTTGAAATCAAGTGCCTAACTGAATAAAACCCAAACCAGTTCATTTACACCGGCTGGTGTGAGACGATAAGGTTAATGGTTGTTGAAGAAAAAGGAAGAATAATTTTTTTTCCATTCTCATTTTACAATTCCTCTGAAGCGGAGTAAGTAAAACAGCTTGAGATGATATCAAGTCAAATAGGCTACTCCTCTAGCACGTGTACTGTAACTTATAGCATGTAAATCGAAACGGAAATATGTATATACAAATACAGTTAGACATGCCGTTTTTTCCTTGAGCTTTCCTTCCTCTCTCCCTCAGTATATCCTGTTTACTCCTCTCCATTCCTCGGAAACCTGTCCTGGCTGGAAAGTTCTAACAGCCCCGCTCTAACCAACCTCTTCCCATCATCCCCATCATCCTGGCACAGCAGTGCGTTTTCTAAGACGTCCTCGTCATCCTTCCACGGCTCCACGGCTCTCTCCTCTGCCAGACCGCCTCGTTCTACCCTTCACTCCCCTATCCAGCACCAAAAGGAGACCTTTGGTGTGCAGGAGAGCGTGAAAGGAGAGAGGCTGAGTCCTCCTGGAGGTGGGGAGGCGTTTGGCGGTGTGTTTCCCCCCTCAGTGAGTGACTCTTTAAAAACACACTCGCAGTCACTGCCCCACTACAGTCCCTACGGGAGCTTCACGCAAGACTACAACGGTTCACTTCTCTACACACCCTCGTCCTTCTCACCCAAATTATGCAGCAAGATGACATTCTCTCCTTTAGGTGAGGAAGCATCATAACGGGCAGATAATGTGGGGTGGTGCTGGAGTTGTGGGTAAAAACACTGCAAAAAGCAATTTTCTTATTCTCTATTTTTGTCTTGTTTTCCAGTACAAATATATTACGTTTTGTTTTCGGATAAAATGAGCAAAAATGAACTGGCTTTTTTGCTAAAAATGGGAAAAAAATGTCTGCCAATGTGGTCAGAAAGAGAATCTTGTTTTCTTTTGGATTAAGTGTATTTTTCATCTTTCTGACCAGATTGGCAGAATTTCGTTTTTTGTTTTAAGCCAAAACTTCTTTTTTTTTTTCAGAAAATGACTTAATATTTTATGTCATTTTCCTTCTCAATTAAATGTATCATTGTTTAAGAATGTTTAGATATTTGTACTAGAAAAAACAAAAATACAATATTTTTTCTGCAGTAAAGTTAAACAGTTCTAGAGTCAAACCTTTCATGATGTGATCCATTTACTTAGAGCCATACTGTTTTTTTTATTCCGTTTTTGTTAAATTTTTTATAATATCCAAACAAACATATTTCCATCCCAACATTTATAATAATTAAATATAATAATAATAAACTCAAAAATGTGAAGTCATGTTAATTTAAAATGACTCAAATCTGTTTTATACCTTTATAATATACTGACAACCACCATAACAATACAGATGGTAATGAGAAAGCTACAAAATCAGAGTTCATCACAAGTAGCTTTTCTACAAGCTGAGGTAAATACTAACACATATGACACTAAAATAATGCACTAAATATTAATTAACATAAGATGTAGCTTAAAACCCTAATGTATATAACTGGCAATAAAAACTAAGATGAATGAATCAATGAAAAATGTGAGCTGTCACACGGAATTCTGGGAATGTCAATTTACAGTTTTTAACTGTAAACTACAAGATGACTTATTCTTTTCACTTCCAAAAATTGTACATTTAACAGTTGTTTACTGTAAAATTACATGAAATGTCCCTTTAGATACAGTTTCACAGTATAGCTTAAGGGAACTTACTGTTAACCAAGTAACAGGTTTTTACCCTAGTATTTTTCCTGCCAAAATTGCGATGATTTTTTACAGAGTACAATCTTAAAGTTAAATATTCAGTGGTTCTTTGCAGTACCTTTGATGAGCACTTTCATGTTACTCTGAAGGTTTTTCAGATCAGCACTTTGGTTTCTGAAATGTATAAAAATCACCAGCACATAAATGGTTTTCTAAAAAAACTAAAGAATAAAAGGTATCGTAGGACATCAGTCTTTAAACATTCAAATTGAAATCTTAAAGATATTTTTGAGTGTGTGTTTCTGATCAAGCTGGGCAGTGACGTGTAAAATACAGAGTTCTGGTATGAAACTCTAGATGGCGCAGTCCGATAGGTCTAACTCAATCTGACCTAATGACATCATTATCACATGGCACAGCTGATTGGTTTTCTCCTGTATCAGTAGCCTATGAGCTCACTGGTCAATATTCAAAGACCTGGCTTTTGTTTGCTGAAGCAATTTGCAGCGCACTTCAGAAACCCTCCACCTTCCCCAGCTCCACCTGTATAGATGTTACTCTGAAGGTTTTTCAGATCAGCACTTTGGTTTCTGAAATGTATAAAAATCACCAGCACATAAATGGTTTTCTAAAAAAACTAAAGAATAAAAGGTATCGTAGGACATCAGTCTTTAAACATTCAAATTGAAATCTTAAAGATATTTTTGAGTGTGTGTTTCTGATCAAGCTGGGCAGTGACGTGTAAAATACAGAGTTCTGGTATGAAACTCTAGATGGCGCAGTCCGATAGGTCTAACTCAATCTGACCTAATGACATCATTATCACATGGCACAGCTGATTGGTTTTCTCCTGTATCAGTAGCCTATGAGCTCACTGGTCAATATTCAAAGACCTGGCTTTTGTTTGCTGAAGCAATTTGCAGCGCACTTCAGAAACCCTCCACCTTCCCCAGCTCCACCTGTATAGATCTGCTACGAGGTGATTCATGTATGCTATGGGGGTTATTCATATGCGTATATGTGCAGCAGCAGAATTTCCTACATACTCACAGCAGCATCTTGTGGATGTATTGGCAGTAGCAAGTCTCGGTACACTGCTGTGTAGCAGATCTATTCCACCAAGACCAAATACATTAACATTGTCATGTACATTACCATGACAATCCCTCCGAGAGTTGTCATGACAGAACATTATTTCTGATCTTTTGTGGTGGCAGAGCCGCGTGAGTGTGTGAACTGTGGGTCCACTGCAACCCCTCTGTGGCGGCGTGATGGAACGGGACATTACCTCTGCAATGCCTGCGGACTGTACCACAAGATGAACGGACAGAACAGACCCCTCATCCGGCCAAAAAAGAGACTGGTACACCTCTCCCATACTCGCTATACTGATAAAGAGAACAAACTTTTAAAAAAAGACTGCATTTATTCCATCAAAAATACTATAAAACTGAAATATTATTACAATTTAATATAATAGAAAATTATTTTATCTGTAATTTATTCCTGGGATGCAAAGCTGAATTTTCAGCATCATTATAGTCTTCATTGTCACATGATCCTGCAGAAATCATTCTAATATGCTTATTTGCCGCTACTTATACGTTGAAAACTGTTGCGCTGCTTAATGTTTTTGTGGAAAACATGATACATTTGGATTCTTTGATGAATAGAAAGTTCAATAGAACAGCATATAGTTCAAATATATTAACAATTTGCAGCATTATAAATGTCTTTGCTGTTGCTTTTGATCAGTTTAAAATGTCCTTGCTGAATAAAAGTATTAATTCTGACACCAACATTTTAAACACTAGTCTATATAGGATCTATAGACTTTCTACTATATGATATTTCTCTTTCTGTAGGTCATCAGTAAGCGAACAGGAACTCAGTGTGCGAACTGTCAGACCAGCACCACCACGCTGTGGAGACGCAACGCCAGCGGAGAGCCCGTGTGTAACGCTTGCGGACTCTATTTCAAGCTTCACAATGTGAGCAACTTCACTTATTTCACATGACTTTTTTACTAAAACGTAAAACGAGTGTCTTGTTAATATAAAAAGTTGTGTCACTCAAGACTTAGCACTGCAAGAGTGGGAATTGCGGCACACACACTCCATCCAGCACTACATTTTTGCCCGCATTTGTGCTGTTACCTGATTTGCATGAATTCCTTGTATGAATTGCGTGCAAAAAAAAAAAAAAAAAGAAGTAAATAGTAAATTCCTTCTTGTAGCTCTTTCAAAACATTTTGACATATCTAACATGTCAGCTTCTGACGTACACAACACCATAAGGGAGTTTTTCCAACCAGTTTTTCATTATTCATGCAATTCCATTTGGCCAGAAATTCGGTGTTCTGTGTCTAATACTTCAATACTTCTCATCAGGTGAACAGACCGCTGACTATGAAAAAGGAAGGCATTCAGACACGTAACCGTAAAGTGTCCAGCAAGAACAGGAAAGGGAAAAGGTTTAGCGCCACAGAGGAGAATCTGTATTTTTCAAAGAATCCTGCGTCTGATCAGCATTTCGACTTGTATTCTCAGAGTCCAGGAGCTCTGGGCGTCTACAGCCACTCTTCCCATTCACTGCCGCCCACCGCTGCCTTCCACAGCCACACCAGCCTGCCCTACCCATACCACCCACAAGCTGCCATCTTACCCAGCGTGGTGTGATGGAAACTGGACAGAAGACTGAGTTCATGGAAAGCTGGAAAAAGTTGTACAAAACACTCACAACTGCCCAGCCATGTGTTCACATACTCAGCAAAAACATACTTGAAAGCTTAACCAATGCGGATGCATGAAAAAACATGTTGCCCTAAAAATATTTGGATGCTTAAAGGGTTAGTTCACCCAAAAATTAAAATTAGCCCATAAATTACTCACCCTCAAGTCATCCTAGGTGTATATGACTTTCTTTTTTCAGACGAATCCAGTCGGAGTTATATAAAAAATTGTCTTTGATCTTTCAAGCTGTTTAATGCCACTCAGCGGGTGTTGCATGCATCAGTTCAAAAGAAGTTAAATAAAAAGTGCCCATCCATAAAAAAGTGTCTCACATGGCTCCGGGGGGTGAACAAAGGCCTCCTGTAGCGAATCGATGCGTTTTTGTAAGAAAAATAACCATATTCAAAACTTAATAATCACTTTAATGTAGCTTGCGCCAACAGTCCTACACGGAAGCAGCTCCGGGCTGATGACGTATGAGGTCGGCTTTGCGCATGCGCCGCTCAGAAGTGACGCACGCGGAAGCGCAGGGAGAGATCAAAACAAAACACCGGTCACTTATTAGAAATACAAAATGAGGATTTGTAAAGAAGAATGTCAGAGGATTTCGATATAAGCCAAGAGGAGACTGGTTTTCCTTTGCTAAAGTAAGGAAACTTTGCTTTCTTTGCTCCTGTTAACAAACGTTGGCGCATGCGCAATGCTGACCTCATACGTCATCAGCCCAGAGCTGCTTCCGTGTACAACTGTTGGCGCAAGCTAGATTAAAGTGATTATTACATTTTGAATATGGATATTTTTCTTACAAAAACGCATCGATTCGCTTACCGGAGGCCTACGACCCCCCCGGAGCCGTGTGAGACATTTTTATGGATGGGCGCTTTTTATTTAACTTCTTTTGGACTGATGCATGCAACACCCGCTGAGTGGTATTAAACAGCTTGAAAGATCAAAGACAATTTTTGACATAACTCCGACTGGATTCGTCTGAAAGAAGAAAGTCATATACACCTAGGATGCCTCGGGGGTGAGTCATTTATGGGCTAATTTTCATTTTTGGGTGAACTAACCCTTTAAGGCACACATAATAGCTGAATGTCAATGCATTGTATGCAAAAACATCAAATCATGTGTATTTATTTTATAGAAAGAAAGAACAAATACACTTTTCAAGTTTGTTTGATTTGAAAAGCTTGAAAGATGACAAATATTACAACACTTTTTTTTGAAGCATTAGTGTAACATGTCCGTACTTGTAAAACTAAAAAAAAAAAAAAAAAAAAGTTTGGGGTCAGTAAGATATGTATTTTTAAAGAAATTAAAACTTCTGTTCAGCAAGGATGCAATAAATTGCTCAAAAGCGACAGTAAAGACATTTATAATGTTCGAGAATTTTAAATAAAAGCTGTTCTTTTGAACTGTTTATCAAAGAATCCTGAAAAAAATGTCTACAAAAATATAAGGCAGCAAAACTGTTTCAGCATTGATAATAATTAGAAATGTTTCTTGAGCATCCAATCAGCATATTAGAAGGATTTCTGAAGGATCATGTGACACTGGAGTGATGATTCTGAAAATTCAGCTTTGCATCATGGAAATAAATGACAATATATTCAAATAGAAAACTTATTTTAAATAGTAATAATATTTTACATGATTATTGTTTTTACAGTATTTCTGATCAAATATATGCAGCCTTGGTGAGCATAAGAGACTTCTTTCAAGAACCAACCCCAAACTTTTAAATGGTAGTGTATATATAGACTACCTTTACTTTTTTGTGTTTGTAATGTTTGTAACACTTTTCTTTTTGGGATTTGTAAGCCGTTTTTAAAGTGTTGTATAGAAAATGAATGCAGTTTACAAATAAACATTTATGTAAAGCATCTTTTTCTTTTTGCATTTGCTGTAAATCTTGACAATAGAAACAAGAGGAGCATGAAGACTCGCTTGAATGCTGTTTGAATTCAAAACGGTCTCTATATCAAAGTGGCGAGGCTCCTTAATGTAACTGCATCGTAACAGACGTTTGCTATTGTGGTTTTGCTTTTTCTATGGCTCCATTGTGAGCTCTGCAGTCTGCATGAATTAGCTTGTGGTGGGAGTTCGACAGTTACGATGTGCCATGACAGCACATATGCAAATCCAGCACTTTCCATAGCACAACGGAGCAGGTCAAGTGCTGCTCCAAAATCATAGTGGATCAGTGATGTCAAAATTCGTAAATCATATGAGCTGTTTCACTGCCAATTAGTTCAGACAGGAGAAACATTTCTTCAACAGTATTTGCTTATCATGGGAGACACATCATCTATGATCTATCATCTTCAACAGTCTGAAACACATTGTAGTTTAGTTTTGCAAATCACAGGCAAATTTATAGATGTTCCACTTTCTTATTTATGTCATATGTTGCTCCCTAACCAGTGTAGTATCTTGAATTCCAGTAAAAGTACAGTTGAGTTGTTGGATCAGGGGCTATGAGGATGGGAGCTGAAACGAAGCAGCCTCTCAGTTTGGAAAATGCAGTTTCTGCTGCACTAGACCACCTGAACGCAGTCTTGGTAGAAAGCTCCACCATGGGAATCTGAAGGGACCGAGCGAACCCAATGTCCAAAAAATTCCCCTCTGCTCCAGAGTCCACTAAAGCCTCAGTCATGATTAACAGACCGAATTACCAGCCTGACAGAAAGATGAGTGCTTGAGTAAGAGGATTTGTCCCTTCATGGCACCCGTCAATAACCTCCTACCTATTGACGGGCGTTGTCTTTTACTGGACACCGTGCTGCGATGTGTCCGTTTATTTGGTAATCACAATAACGGAGACACAAGGTGATAATCCTCGGGTCCTGGTCAGGATCAGAGCTCCACTGAGAAACCCCTCCAACCACTGCACTGACCAAACCAAGGAGAAGGCTGAAGATCCGTACCCTGACTGAGCGAGAACTGGAAACAGAGAACTGACAGGGAGACAGGAACATGAGAATAACGAACCAACAAACACACATTGAACAGGGTGTCCTATAAAGGAGTCGCTAATGAGTTGCAGCTGGCGCGCTCTGATTGAGCGCCAGCTGCAATCACTAACGAAATGACGTATGCACATACAACCACATGACAAGACGTAAAAGGACCGTCCGGACCCATGAACCGTGACAAAACCCATCACTTTATCAAAATTTCACCATCCAGTTAGGCTCATCAACCATAACTCCTTCAAAAACAGCTAGAAACCTTGGAGTTGTGGTTGATGATATAATTGATGATAATTTCTCAGACCACATTGCTAAAACTGCCCGGTCCTGCAGATTTGTTTTATACAACATTAGGAAGATCAGGCCCTTTCTTTCAGAACATGCAACACAACTCCTTGCTCAAGCTCTTGTTCTATCCAGGCTGGACTATTGCAACGCTCTCTTGGCAGGTCTTCCAGCCACTTCTATCAAACCTCTACAATTAATGCAAAATGCCGCTGCAAGATTAATCTTTAATGAGCCGAAAAGAATGCATGTCACACCTCTGTTCATCAATTTGTACTGGCTACCAGTAGCTGCTCGCGTTAAATTCAAGGCATTAACGTTTGCCTACAAAACCACCACTGGCTCTGCACCCATTTACCTAAATTCATTACTTCAGAGTTATGTTCCCTCTAGTAGCTTGCGTTCTGCAAGCGAACGACGCATTATTGTGCCATCTCAAAGAGGCACAAAATCCCTTTCACTGACTTTTTCATTAACTGTTCCCTCCTGGTGGAATGACCTGCCCAACTCAATCCCAGCAGCTGAGTCCTTAGCCATCTTCAAGAAACGACTAAAAACACATCTGTTCCACCTTTATTTGACCCTCTAACTCCTCTAGCACTTTCGATTCTATTTTAATTCTACTTTATCTATTTATATTCTTATTTATATATAAAAAAAACTAACAGTAGCTTTCTATTTTTTCTATTCTATCTACTTGTTTTTCTTTTTGTGTATATATAAAAAACCTTGCTATGTGTACTGAGTTAGGCTAACCGAGACTTGTCATTTGCACTTACATATTGTTGCTTGTTTGTTAGTTTTGATTGCTTCTATTGTCCTCATTTGTAAGTCGCTTTGGATAAAAGCACCTGCTTAATGACTAAATGTAAATGTAAATATATACCAAAATATATAAAAAAATGTATTTCAGGGGCAAGAACATACATTTTCAATCTCTCCTAGCCTACATTTATGCTTGAGATTAAAACTTACTATATATTTAGACTAAGATTTGTAATGATTTAATGATGCTTATAGAATATATTTGCTAAAATTATAACAGAATATATTTCAAAATGTATTATTTTCAAAAATATAGAAAAAATGGACTAGATTATTGGTAGATATATTTAAGCGGGTATACTAAATATATTTTGAAACATTTTAGCAAATACATATATTTGGCCTTGTTAAAAATATATATTTAAAAACATTTGAAAAAAAAAAATATATATATATACAGTGGGTATATATATATATATATGTGTGTGTGTGTGTGTGTGTGTAAGTATATATATGCATGCTACAGTATATTTCCAGCATCTTTGAACCAAACTATATATATTTTCAATTTTAAAAATAAATGTCACTGAGCTTCACTGTTTACAACATAGATTTAGCATATATTTACAATATATGTTGGTTGGATTTATTTTTAGATTTTTGCTATATGGGAATGTTTGGCTGTTGTGTGTGGTTGCCAGGGTGTTGCTATGCAGTTTCTTCATAGGTGTTCTGAGTGATGTTAAGATGCTGTTATGTGGCTAAGTGGTTGCTTTCTAGTCAAAATCATAACTCTTTCCAGCCTGTTATGGCAGACATCACATTTAGAGTCCAGAAAGGTCACCCAAACACACACGCGCACTACAATCCCAGCATCTCTGAGCCAACAAATTGGCTTTATTGTGTGCATTGTTCCATGCC